CATGTATTTCTATCACTTATAATAGAATTTAAATGAACAGAAAGTTAATGAAACTGTAACTTATTTGCTTAATTTATTATTGTGCTAAAACTAAAAGACAAGAAGGGAACAAATTCTGTGATTCATGCTAGTTCAGATACAGTAAATGAATGCATAATCAATATGAATGACAAAAAAGCCCTAAGAGTATCGGAATCGGTGGTTCAACAGTCCAACTATTTCCCCCCCCCCCTCTTTGTTTAAAGAGATGTTGCTGAAGGCAGCACCAAGCATGGATTGTTCCACTGTTACCACTGCTAGTACAATTTTAAGGTTTTGTTATTTTTAAAATATACAATGGCCTTAAACACCGAGACACGTTTTTGCACATTTTTATTGGCCCCACATTTTCAAAATAAGTCTCTTATTACCTAGCACTGCATTATCATTATGATTTGTAATGATCATAATGATAATGCCCCATGAGCCCCAGTCATGGACCAGAGTCTTATTATATAAGATGCTGTACAAACAGAACAAAAAGACAGTCCCTGCTCCAAAGAGCGGTCTTATGACAGATGAAGTTGCTGCTTAGTTTGGTCAAGACAATGCCTCTTTGCCCTGTGGTCCTTTTGGTCTCCTCCGACCTGCTTTGTTAATATAGGGACATAACATTAAGATCACCGATTATTACATACCACGGTGTTAATCCTAAAGGGCAGGTTCCTGAAAAGCACAAAAGCAATTGTTATTCTTTAATCAACAGTCAAAAGAAATATTGTAGCAATAGGCAATGTGAAGATAAGCAATACAAGAGTCTAGTCAAGCCATGACTACCTTTTTTTGCACAGTATATATTTTACAATTTCCTGTTTAGCGCTCTCGCTATGTGAAATCTCATCTGGTTAGCCACTTCTAAGTAAATATCATTTCCGCAGTGTGTATACGGGAAGATCAAAATTTTAAAAGCAGCTGTCCATACAGATCAGTGGTTCTCAACCTGGAGTATGCGTATTCCTAGGGATATGCAGAGGTCTTCTGGGGGGTACATCAACTTATCTAGATATTGGCTAATTTTACACCAGGCTACATAAAAAGCACTAGCAAAGTCAGTACAAGCTACAATTTCATATAGACAATGACTTGTTTATACTGCTCTATACACTATACACTGAAATGTAGGTACAATATTTATATTCCAATTGATTTATTTTACAATTATATGATAAAAATGAAAAAGTCAGCAGTTTTTCAGTAATAGTGAGCTGTGACACTTTTGTATTTTTATGTTTGTTTTGTAAACAAGTAGTTTTTAAGTGAGGTAAAACTTGGGGGTATGCAAGACAAATCAAACTCCTACACAGGAGTCTGGAAAGGTTGAGAGCCACTGATACAGATAACATGAAAAATCTGAATCAATGATCACTTTAGCAGCTGTACAGTGAAGCAGGCCCTGAGCTCGTTAGCTCTGTTCTGGCTCAAGTCTGCAAAAGCCAGGTCAAACTCTTTTTGTGGGTTTTCACAGCCTTGCTCAGAAAGACTGAGAGATTGTATTAGATAACAGTCCTTGTACAGGGCAGAAAGAGAGAGATTGTATTTAGAGAACATAACATGGGGAGAGGGATAGCTCAGTGGTTTGAGCATTGGCCTGCTAAACCCAGGGTTGTGAGTTCAATCCTTGAGGGGGCCACTTAGGGATCTGGGGCAAAATCAGTACTTGGTCCTGCTAGTGAAGGCAGGGGGCTGGACTCAATGACCTTTCAGGGTCCCTTCTAGTTCTAGGAGATAGGATACCTTCCCACAAGAAGAAATAACAGTCCTTGTACAGGGCGGCCTGCACTAGCATCAGCTTTAGTCATTAACAAAAAAAATCATCCAAAACTTCAACCAAGCTTTTCAAAGGTTGTAATAATTTCAGATCACCTGCCAGCTCCTTCCTCTCCTGGTTACCAGTCTTTTGGGTTTCTGAACCTCTGCATTTCCTGGTTCTGGCCGACACCAAAAGCAGAAATGTCAATGTACCATGTAAAACAGAAGTGTCTCCCAGTATTCCAGTCTCTCCCAAAGCAGGAAGTCCCAGAAATCTTACAAGACAGCCTGTACTTACAAATTTCCAGCCTACTTTGGCAGAGTAGAGGGCTCATGGAGCAGTCCGGTGATGGGCTGAACACCCTCAGATCTTGTTGTACCGCGTGTGCTCAGCACCTCACAGGACCGATCCTTTAAATTGTTCAGATTCTGGTTCTGTCCCTCTGACCAATATTTATTCATGGGTAATGCCGTTGACCTCAAAAGGACTACAGGCATGAGTGAAGGTGGTTGGATCAGGCCTAAGGTTTAGATAAACCCTTGATCTTTTGAGTGCTTGAACAACACAAGGCCCTCATCCTGCAAAAACTTTACACACGTACTTAACTTTACACACCTTGAGTTGTCCTACTGACCACTCACTGTGCATAAAGTTAAGCATGAACCTAAGCCTTTGCAGGACAGGCGCCCAAACCACTCTCACAAAATCACTTGTCATTCTTCAGAGTTGCAGTATGTCTAAGTTAAAAACAAAAAAATCCAAAAAACTAGGACTAGACAAAAGCTGAAGGGCTCAATCCTGCAAGGTGCTGAGTACTCTCCTCCCTCACTAAAATATCTACCTAAGTACTCATCCTGCAGCCATCTCCATAGTGTCCGAGTAGCTAAGGGCATTCACAACCTCACAGGATTGGCCTTAAGCTCCAACAGAGCACGGAGGAATCTTGAAAGGTGCAGAGCTCCTTTGAGTGTCATTGGCAATGGGAGTTGAGGGGACACTATGACAGAGTTAAAGGATAATTCAGAAGAACAAAAATGTGAAAGAGAAAATATTTTATTTAATTTGCAACACATACTGGCAAGTTTTAAAAACCCCAGTCACAAAAGAGACTAAAATTTAACCCCCCTTCCCTAAAATTCTATTATATACATTAAAAACTACAGTGGAAATATTTGTACATAAATGTCCCATAAACCACACCACATATGCAACAAATACAAGAACAGAAATTTAAATGTATTAACATAAATAAATACTTAATAAAGTAAAAGCATGAAAATTACAACCTGATTTACATGTTTGCAACTCAACAATCATAAATTATCATTTTTTCTTTTGTAAAAGGATAAATGAATAGTATGCTGTTTATAATAACTTCTGACATTACCTAAGTAACCAGCTACATAAATATTTTCGATGGCTGCATACTTCACTGCATATTACACCAATAGCTGATTTCCTAAGATATGCCATGAGGTGTGTCAGTCTTGGAGACAAACAAGAACGTCCTACTTTTATGAACAAGCAAGTCAAGATTAGTCCACAGCACTTTACAGAAAGGACTTTTCACAAGTTCACAAGACTTTCAACAACATATTGGAAAATTGTTCAAATGCATGATCATTTCAAATGCAGTTAGAAAAATGACAAGTAAAGTGCTTCAATACATCTCTTTATTTATTGCCATTATGTCAGTGCAGTATGACAATTTGTAATCAGAATTTTTGGGTAGAGAGGGGATGATGGGAGAGGACAAGGCCCAGGGATCTGTGAATTGGTTGAGGATATTAGGCTCTGATTCAGCAAAACACTTAAGTATATGCTTAACATTAGCACTGAAGTTAGTCCGACTTCAGCACATGCTGAATCAGGCCCTTATAGTCTAGAATGAGTGGGCCATACATTCTCACCTACCCTATTCATTGTGGTCTACCCCATTTTTTGGGTTGGTCCCAATGTAATATCTCAAACTATACTGATGTAAGCAGCAAAAGAGCTAACTCTTCCCCTTCAAGAAAGGAACATTGTTTCATATGGGTCATTAGGTAGAATCTGAGACATAACAGGGCTCCCTCGGATCTGACTTATACTGGTGGAACTACATTGACTTCAGCAAAGCTGCTCCTGGTTTTACTCCAGGGGGAATTCTGCGCCCATGCATAATTCATGTCTCCCACAGATTTCTTTGCTTCCCCGCAGAAAATGATTTTCTGATAGGGAAGCAAAGGGAAGCTGCAAGAGCGGTCACGCACTCTTCCCTAGTAGTGCAGGCAAATCGTTTCAGGCATCTGGAGCAGCTGGTGGAGAGGTAAATCACCATGGTGGCTCCTACCCTGCACCGGAATCAGCTGCTAGACCCCCCCCAGAAACCTCCCCTAGCTGTAGGAAGCTCAGCATCCTCCCCTCATCGCTCCTCAGCTGCGGGGGAGGGGTTGCTGTACTGGGAGCTGCTCCCCCGTCCACCCAACCCCCTGCATTGGACCCCCCCTACCCCGCCCCCCCCCCCCCCGCCAATCCTCACCCCATACACCCAGATCCCCCCCAGCGCTCCATACCTGAACCTCATCCTGCTGAACCTAAACCCCTGCATCTAGAGCCCCCCTGTATCCACACCACCCTGCAACTGAATCACCCTGACGAGCCCCCCACCCCACTGAACCCCAGCTAGCTGTACCTGGATCCCCAATCCCCCAGCACCCAGACCCACCCCTGCCGAGCCCCCCTCCCCCAGATCCCCCACTGAGGCCCAACCACCTTCACCTGGAACCCCCTGCAGAGTCCCATTGCCCCTGCACCTGGAACCCCCTCCCACCACCAAGAGCCTCTGTGCATCCAGATTCCACCCACCCAGACCCCTCACTGATCAGTCTGCACCCCGATTGCTCAATACAGAACCTTCTCACCCTACACCAAGCCCCTCCACACTTGGATCCTGCCTGGTTGAGCCTGTCTGCCCCACACCTGGTGCATCTGGCACAGAGGATCAGGGCCCTGGGGTGTTTCTGAGGCAGGCCCAGCCCTGATGCTGTGTCAGGGTTGAGTGCAACCTTACCACCGAGTCAGTGTCCTGAGATGGGGAAGGGAGGCTGTGCAGCCAGTGGTCTGTGTTCCTCACTGTCATGCTGGAGCCTCCACATTTGTTTGACAAATAAAACTTGCAGAATTTTAAAATAGTGTGTGCATAAATTTTTAGAATTTTTAGGCACAGAATTCCCTCAGGAGTAACCTGGTTTACACTGATGAAGTATGATCATCAACAGGCCTGAAGTGTGGCTTCTCCTCCAGGAGGGGGCAGCAGAACTTCCTCTAGAATACTGTTAGTTGCTGAAATAATGTCACTTATTTTAATAGTTACAAAAATACAGTATCACAAGGTAGTGCATTTTTAAACAGAAAGGCAGGTACAAAAATAATAAATCCTATATTAAAAATGGACTGCGACTTTGTTCCCACTTCAACTGTCCTACATATCTATATTGTTAGAAAGGCATTGTAGGTCAGTTTCTGATCCCATCATTTCTTCCATTTTTATCTTAATCTAATCTGTTATGCCACCAATAATAGCCTTTCTTACCCTCCCTTCTAAGTCCCAGCAATGAGACTCGGATTTCCTTTGAGAAAATGCCTCTCAAGTTTTCACTGTCTTTACCGCTTTGGTCAGATTGCTGTAAAATCCAGCCATGCTGCTCGGAAAGAATGAGTCCACTACAGTCTGGGGAAGATAGCCACCAAGATCAGTCTGAAAGAAAGCGAGGACTTGGGTCTTGCCTGGTTCCCTGAGAAAACAAAACATCAGTGCAAGTTATCTTACAACCAGAAGTGTAAAATATTAAGGACTTTATAAGATTTCTTATCTTTGGGATGTGTTATCTATGGATAAATATTTCTATGCCTTTTCCATAGAATGGGCACAAAGCAAACTTCCCGATTACTCTCCCATCAATGTGCCTTTACCTACCCCTACAAGGAAAGGATAGTAAATTTCCCAATTAATTTAGGCCCTGATTCAGCAGAGCACTTAAGTATATGCTGAACTTTAAGTATGTGAATTGCCTCTGAAGTCAGTGGGACTACTCATAAAGTTAAGCACATGTTTATGTGTTCTACTGAACCGGATTCTTAATCCTTGGCTTCTCAGCTAAGAATGCCAACAAGGATACCCACTGTGATGATAGTTTCTGTAATGTTAACAGATGTCCGCTAGGAAATGGAAAAAAGAGACTAACTCATTTCACCTGGGGCATTGAACATCACTCAGTTTTAATGACAATGTCTACCAGCCACAACCAGATATAAACCAGTAACTGCCAGAGGGTTCTCTCTTGAATGGTGCACATTAATACATACAAATGATAGCTATGGATAGGACTTTCAAGTACAGCATATGTAATATTCAAATAGACTTCTTACCCTGGAACAGGTATACAGAAACAACCACAGGGATAATTAAACCCTCTCACGTATCTTGGTTGGGGAGGACAGAGTGCATGTTCCACATTGGTTGCTATAAGAAAAAAAATTACTTTAACAGTAAAAGTTTTCTACCACAGTAAACACCACCAGCTGAAAGGCATTTACGATGAAAGCTAGTCAAAGATTCTTGAGGTTGATGTTCTTTGGCCTGTATTATGCATGGTGATCATAACATAGCTATCTGGGGGGAGGGATAGCTCAGTGGTTTGAGCATTGGCCTGCTAAACCCAGGCTTGTGAGTTCAATCCTTGAGGGGGCCACTTAGGGATCTGGGGCAAAAATCAGTACTTGGTCCTGCTAGAGAAGGCAGGGGGCTGGACTCGATGACCTTTCGGGGTCCCTTCCAGTTCTATGAGATAGGTATATCTCCATAAAAATAATATTCCCTTCTGGCCATCAAATCTATGAATCAAAGTACTGCATGCATTATAGGAATGATTTCTGCTGGTATGGACTGTACACCAAGGCACTTCAAAAGACATTTATTGGGCTTATACAGTGTTATGGCACCCAGTGTTTTAATAGTAACTTAAGTTGCTTGCACGCTAATCTAAAAGTAAGATAAATGCATTTCACAAAGATGTTCCTCTCTTGGTCTTTTGAGAAGGCATAAGCTCACTGCACATATCTATATCTATCTAGAGAGAGAGAGAAAGATTCCTGCCTGGTGATCCAAAGAGGGAACTGTGGGGCATTGACACTCTTGATTTAAGACTTAATGAAAGATGTAAATGAACGGGAAGAAAGAAAGATGAATATATGCACATAGTACCAGCAGCTTGAAATAGTTGCTCTCTGCAGGAAAACTAATCACTGTTGGGGTGCTCTATGGGCACATCTCTTCACGGTCTTTAGTTAAGCAAAACTTAACAGCTTTCAGTACATCCTATGAAGTGTTCAGAGGCAATGCTTCCGAAGGGACTTTCTTAGACACTTCTACAGGTTCTAAAAAATGTACCCAGCTGAATACTAACTGAAATATCTATTCCTTCTCAGAAGAACACTATGAAAAGGAATGATAGGCAAACAGTATAATCATTCACTGAAGAGTGTAAATATTGCTGATATTCTATATGATGATAATGATGTAATTAAGCACTAATACTTGCTAATAACTATTGATTAAGCATCTTCTGACCAAGATTTTTACTGTATATCCAACATATATATATATATTTTGAAAAACAAAAAGAATATATCCTGAAAGATTTTCAGTTATATTCACTAACTTACTGTTAATATAAAATGTAATACAATACAATATAATATAAATGGATTGGAAATTTAAATATTTTACCAGCAGATGCTATAGTCCCGTCTTCATACTGCTTAATTAGCACCACATCTACAAAATCTCTTGGAGAAATAATCTTCATGAAGGCTGATGGGGTAAGAGTTCTGCATATAGAGATAGTCTACAAAATACAAAACAGCATTAAATCACTGTATATGTACATATAAATGCAGTGATGTGCTTCTAACATAGTAAGTGAGAGATTGTGATATCTTTTCTCATGCTTACTTGACAAGCAGTGCCATTTATTTCAGTTACACAAATTTGTGGAATAACTTGCTATTCAGCGTGAATAAATGTATCAGCTAAGAGTCTTGACTCAAGAGCATTTTTGATGGGAAAAATACAGTGATGAGAGGTGGATCCAATGCCATAAGAACAAGCAACACAATGCTCTTTAAGAAGAGAGTCACCCACGGATATACTCATAGATGTAGTTATTTACAAACTCCAATTTCAGTTAATAACTTTGTTACATCAAACTTGGTGCATAACTTGTTATCCCACAGGAAATTTAACACAGTTCCCTTGTATCTAAACATCTGCTCCACCACATTGGTGAATGTTATCTAAGCCGGACAAGTCTGTAAATACAGAATGGAAGACTCTATCATATGTGATTTACAAATGTATCTTTTTGTATTTAATTCTAAATAACTCGAAGATTCTCACAAGCTGATAAAAATAAAGGGCTCTGAAATTCAATTGAATGTTCCCTGCACTCATGCTGGTGTGCTTGAGGTACCGAAGAAAGGCAGGATGAGTTCAATGCAGTATGTGCTGTGATGGCAAAATGCCTGAACTAAAGGCTGAGTTAAATATATAAATGACTTTGCATTTGTTGGGTCATGATAAACCTCTTCATTAGTTAAACACAGATTTGTGTATTTTATTTTTTTTAAGATTACCTTCTTTTACCAACAACTATTGTTTAAAATATTATGAACACTTATAAGAGTTAGCATGATAAAACAATATAACTTTGGAGTCAGTTCTGAAATTAGAATGGTTATGAAGTGTGTATTGTTTAGCCAACAGGCTATAGCTACTCATTCAAAGGGGTTACAGTGTATTGTGTAAATACATGCAAACATTTTAAATCATATGAGATTTACGTTGTCAAAATAAAACAATTTTGTACAGCTTGTTCAAAACAAAAGAATTCCTGGTTACCAATTTCTAACAGTGATTTAAGACTGTGGGTGAGATACACACACCAGGCTGCAATACCTTCTTTAGGATCTTGTAAATATCTGTTTATGTCTACACTGTAAGATACAGTATAAGGCACTAAAAATGTGACTGAAAATATAGGGGTCCATTTCCGCTCTCACTGAAACCTCACCTGACATATTTTTGCATGGGTTTAATTATTCCTGGTGCCCCAAGTACATATTTTATTTATTTTTACAATATATTTTTATAGTAATAAGCACATAATTTTCTCTTCAGATTTTTGTAACAGATCTGTTATGTGATGAGAATTTAACCACAATGCTCCTTATCATTTTCATGGAACTTACATCACTAATAGTTTCAATCAGCTCAAAGTCCTTCACATTTTGGTCCCACTTTGTTCTAAGTCCACCAGCTTCTGGTTTTAAGCACTCCCAGACAGCCTCAGGACTCGCAGAGACTATTCCATCTCCTTTGTATCTGTAGGAAAACAAACATGAAACTAAAATTACCTTTGAATTTTTCTCCTGAACAACAGACAAGAGATATTCGCTCACACACAGACACTTCCTCTCCCCCTTGTAATTTTGGAATACCTTACTTACATGTTGCCAGAAAACTCAGTTGATGGTCTCCAATAAATTGAAACTTCATTCTATCAAAAGTGAAATAAGTGAAGACAGCCTTCAGAGTTGATGTAGCAATTAACAGGCTAATCTCTTTGCCACAGCTAGCTAGCAGACATTCCAAACCCACAAAAAAATGCAGAAATTGGGCTTGGTTTTGGCTTAATTGGCTTGTGAGTTGTCTGTTGGCTAATTTTTGGCTTATAGCTTGTTTGGCTTGTAGCTTGTTCTGTCTTTTTTTTGATCAGCTTCCAGCAAGCAGGGGCAAGGGGGGGTGGGAAGTAGTGATGCACAGTGGCCCCACCATCATCCCAGACTGCACACCGGGGGGATCTAGTCACATAGAGTGTTGGGGTTCTTAGGGATTGGCTTGTTTTGAAATGGGATTAGCTTGATTTTTGGCTTATTGTGAAAGTCGGGGTGCTTATTTACCTTGTGAAAGTTGACAACTGTGCTAGCTAGTTTTCTTTGTCAGTGGTTACTGACTCATTTAAAGGACTGGCAAATACAATAACTTCCAAAGATTTTAATTACAAATCCTACCTCAGTGTCTCTAACCAGAGAGCTAACAGTTAACAGCTGAACTGTATAAAGGTCTGAACGGTCACAACAAAGTTGTGATCATTGTTAGCTGCTAACACTTTGCCAGTAGAGTCAGAAAGCTGGAAAAATAACCCGGGGCCTTACTCTGCAGGGGGCTGAGCGCCTCCTCCTAATTCCCCATCGACCCTGCTTTATCACTGGCGCCTAGCCACGAGGGTGATGGGCACTCCAGGAAGACCACAGCGAGAGCACCCCGCAGGACCGGCCATGGTTTGAATGGGCACCCAGGGGATCCAGCACCCTCCTGCTGCAGCGCCCAGATGAACACACCAGTGACCGGCTTTGCCCTCCCGCGGGGGAGGAACAGGAACCGGGGCAGAAATGGAAGCGGGGCAGCCTAGCTGCCATGTCCCCACTGGACTCGCTCCGGAGCCCGGGCCCAGCCTGCTCACCGTGCGCTTACAGCTCCGCCAGCCGCTCGGGTCCTTCCGGTAGAGCTGCACGGTGTCCGCCAGCGAGCGGACCTGCTCCTCGTAAGCCATGGCTAGCGACCGGCTCGGCTCGGCTGCGGCGCTGCACGGGGCCGGCTGCAGGAGGAGCCGCCGCCCACAGGGGGCCGGGCTCTCGCCGATAGGAGCTCCCAGCCTAGGCCGAGCCCAGCGCCTCCCACTCACCTGATGGAGCTGCCCGTGCCTTGAGAGGGACGCAGGGCTCCTGGGCGGGCCCCCCCAGCGCACGGGCCCGCTGCGCTTCCCAGGCCGCCAGCGCCAGCCTCCGCCCCCGGCGGCGGGGGGTTAGCAGCGCCCCAGCTGGGCGGCGCGGCGCCTGCGGGCTGCTCCAT